GTGGGTTCTAGGAGCGTGGACAACCGTCGGAGGAAGGTCATTCCACGCAGCTGCTACTCGAAATGATAAAAAAATTTTGCCTAATGAATTTGTGTACTCTGAGCTTGTCGCCGCCGTGTGTTTGTTGGGTCAAAGTGAAAAATCTGTTAGCCAAGCTTTATTCAAACAGGGCATAATTAAGAATTAGGTCCCATCGCAGTCAAGAAATTATGAAACAAAATCGGTATTCATCGGCAACAACACACCAGTGGTAAATACTAGAATCCAACTTTTACAACCATGTAGATGAATGTTCTCGTAAAGAGTGGGAAGAGGATGGGAACTTAACACAGAAGGCTTTATGTGCCTACCCATTTGACAATGCCCCTCTTGTAGACCCTTGCAGTCATGTACTTATGGAATTGGCACACTACACGACAACCCTCGGCGTCCGCTTTTCAGCCGTCGTTCTATTTTTACTGCTGTATTTAAAAGAACTTCTTAGACGGATCGATCAACAAGCTACTCGTGGACCTACTCTAAATACTCCATTAATCGACATTTCCTGAATTTGAAACTCGAACACATGATTCAATTGCAGCTGTTGGGTTAACTACACTCTATACAGACGCTATAGACTGATGTTTGAATGGTCTGGCTGCCGTATCGAGTTGCAGCGCTGCTGGTGTGGCACGAAACTTGCGAGCTGAAGCCTCATTGATCGACTGGATATCTGTAAATAGCCGAATGTGCCACCCCGATTCCCACACTGGGTGAAAGACTGCTATCTTTTGTCGTGTCCCTTATTCACCACGGAAATGTAGCTCTCATCAAATGGAAAGCACCTACCAAGAACCGACCACCCTTTTTTCCACCAAGAACTCGAAGAATTTAATAAAAACATAAATGTTCAGCTGTAACACCCTTTCGGTGCCTAGCTGCCGCGCCACCCGAAGGTTGCACGAGGGCTGGGATACTGCCAGGTTGCCCAAGCCTAGACATGGGGATTTGAAGTGTAGAATTCGGGTTCGAACCACGGACCCTCCGGTCAGTAAAGTCGCGCTCTAGCCTTTGAGACAACTCGCCCTCCAGATGGTATTTATGTGATATTAGTCCACCTACACAGAATAAATACAATTTGATGCAATGTTTGAACGTTGTCCTTAGATTTGGATACGCATATATTCGATTGCAGATAGCGGTACGGTCTGTGCTGTATACAAACATCAAAACAGATTATGAACCCACGTCATTTCCATGGGAAAGGGTGGACGTACTCATGGTTAGTTCTTACCAAGACCATGATCCACTGGAGATACATTAAATTCAGCGCAGGTTTAGGCAGCTGATACGGTTAAATCTTATGGTCAGTATTATAAATGGATTGAGAGCAAGTGATACCCACAAATAACATTTGAAATGCATTCACTTGGTCATCCTTGCTTTCGTGAAATGAGCGGTCGCTTCACACCCCTGTCTACTTATATCCGACGTACAGTTCGGTCTAGACCTCCTGTGTATGCTGGAATATATTATTCTACCTCAAAAATAGACGATCCATTCTGTGAAAATACCGATTCCTCCTTATAACAAACGCTTACTTAGGGAACACTTTGACGAAAATATGTTTGTTCTTCATTTTAGCAGAGTGTATTCTCCATGCTTCTCCGACTCATGAGCAGAAAATACTGCGCACCTAAATAAAACTACGGTACGAGTTTACGGTCGCATCTTTGGACGAAAATAGACCCACTTCAAGACAAGAAAAAGTCTAGCAGCTTAAGGTTCTCCTACGCATCTACGACTCTGGCCTCGGTTTCTTCAAAACCACGAAGCTAGAAAGACTCCAGCATCCCCAGGATGGTACTTCATTTCATTGTCTTGAGCGATTCGGCAGGTGTAGAAAGGCTGGTGAACTACAGCCATATGGTCAATCGTTTTTGGTACAAAACGGTCGTGCACAGCGCCCTCCAGTCCAAAAGAAACTGCACGTATCTGCAGTAGCATCTTTAGATCTGCTACCAACGAAGGATGTTCCAATTCTGATTGCCAGATGGGTGAGTCTCTTGGAGTACAAGCGACTAGCAACACGTATGCCTCAATATATGATGAGAATGCACCGAAAACCTAAATGGAGCGTTATCACCTCATAACCTTTGGTTTTTTCAAAACCTAGGCATACCCCTTACAAATGCGTTATGCCACCCGGGAAAAACCGTAGTGGTAAAATATGGGACCTCAGAACAAACTGGCAACAGCTCTACCCGCACTAATTTAGAGGGGACATAAGCCTACTTGGAGTAAATGCTGCTTCGTGAAGCTGTCGTAAATCTTCTTAGGTTTCGGCAACACCGCTGTTACGTTAAAGACGTTCTTGCGTATTTATCCTGCAAACAGATTTGCCCCTTATTTGTGTAAACTTTACTTGAAAGCCTCGATGAATAATGCTAGATTAAAGTTGGTTAGGCAATCTGCAAACAACTTACAGCATGCTGACTACCGGGGGTCGGCTAACTTATGTTTTCTGCACGCTTTAAAGCTCCATGTAGAGAGTATCGTTTGGATCGAAACCATGAGGATGCGGGGATCTCAGCCTGTGACTGCCTTCATTTTGCACATCCATTGGTTTGAGAAAGTACTCACGATTCCAGTCAACTAGAAAACTCATGAGACCGATTGAGCAGCCATCGTTTCAAACAACTTTGGTACACTATCGGTAGATTTATTGCTAGGCAACGTTTCAGTGTTGAAACGTAAGCTTCATCAGGCCAAGTGAAACTTTGGTAATCGGTAGATTTATTGCTAGGCAACGTTTCAGTGTTGAAACGTAAGCTTCATCAGGCCAAGTGAATAAGTTAACAGGTTGGTTGAGTCCCAAAGCGAACTGGAAAACATCCAATGAGATCGCTCTCAACTGACCAACTTAATCAATGCTGAATGTTAGTCAGAATTTCATGTTTGTTAGTTTAGATGTCTAACACATGCAAATGGGCGTAGGTGGGGGAAAGTACCAGCTTTCTGAACCGGCTATCGAGGATGATTTTCTGGCTTAGGGTATCATAGTGGGATATTCCTCTTGAATTTCACAAAGTTTGTTCATCTGTGTCGCTTAGGATTGGTAAGACAATCCCATTGGGGTTGTGAAAGTTACTGGACTTCATTCTGCTTGGACTTAAGTATACACACAGGGATGACTGGCAATTTCCACCGAATTAACAAACAAGCAGGCTGTTGTGAAACTTAGTTTTCGTCTCACCCTCAAGGCCCTACTTTTCTAACACACTCCAGATATTCACTTGCATTTCTTGATGTCCTGCCGTTGCACTGCTTGGGATCACACTCTTCTTTGCGAATCTTACGCCGTTTGACCTATCTGGAGATTTTGAAGTTGTTACGTCATACCGTGAACAGAAAGACCATAGTCCTAACAACTAGAAAGTGGTCCCTCAATTACAACGAAACGTAGCGTGAGGTTCCCTCTGCTTGGATGCCACTCTAATGTTAGCTGCATTCAACACACTTCCAATGACTTCAGAATTACCTGTCTGCCATTCCGACCCCCGTCTTTCTGGGTCTTCATTTTTGCACCACTACTCACTTCAGTTACCGCCCAATCAAACACAAATCAAATCCGTTTACTGTACTTATCTTGTTTCCCACAATTTGTGCTAGTGCTGATGCTGTTCGGTCACACTCTTCTCTGCACACTGTCTCCAATCAAATAAACACTTCTGAAACCATACTAGCACATACCACCCTCGGAACGGCTGATGAGTAGTTCAAGTCTGAATCCCTGTCGATCGACTCCAGGTTCCCCATTTCTCACCACTCTTCGATGTTGCTCATTCAAGGAAAAGTACCGTGTCCCGAACGGAGTTTAGTTCGATGTTGAGGATTCAAAGCGTTAGAGTATTGTTAGAATTCGATAACTAAATTTATCAAGCTTAATCGCAGCGAACATGTGGTCTGTGCAAACCCAAAAACCTTCGATGGTTACTGGAATCCAGTTAGGATCTTCTGTTTATAGTCATCTTTATGTATATTAAGTAAGGTTTGAAATGTCGGAGGTTACACCGTCATAACTTGTACTTTGGAGCACATACATGAGTCAAAATATAGAAGGTTGTATTGAAGCATATTCTTCTACCTTCCACTCCCTCATCAATCGAAAGTTGCACCGTAGTTTTGGCCAGCAGCAACCACCTCGAATCCTTCGCAGCATCCGTCGAGTTGACGTCAAGTTCAAGTTTCTGCTCCGCTGAGTTCGACTGACTGTTTTCTTTTGGTTGTTTCAACATATGGAATTATTCTAGGCTTTCGCATCTAAGACACACTCCACTACTGAAATTTTTACATTCTCTCATCACCTACAAACTGTTAAACTCACATGGCCATAAAAATGTATCTACAATTGCAATTTGTCTACCAAGTCATCTTTCGCAGTTCTTTTGATGGTTTTTTATTCCGAATTTGTCATAAACGGCCAAACGTATCTATTCCTTTAGCCGTTCTCTGTGATGGCAGACAGACATATCAAAATGTCTAAAGTAGTCTATCTTACTTATGTCCCAAGCACTCGGAAACTAATAAACAACGGATTATAAAGGAATGGAGCATGCTGCAATCAATGCAAAAGCAAATCGAAGGATAGAATTCATCAATTTTGGTTTTGTTTAGTGTCAGGAAATGTATTCGGACATTCTTGATCGAGCTCCTTTGTAATAAGAGGGCTTTTCGAAACAGTCAGTCGGCGAGGAAGAAAACGACGAAGCCCAGTTGGACGTTAGCCCAAAATTGTCGTAGTGACACTTAGTAAATCTGTGGATAATCTTTTTTTAGCATGCTTACGACAACCAATGGCGGTTTGTCTGTGAGGGGCATGGGCCCACTCGCAAAAGTGCTCAATGAACTTATGATTGGTCCATACCGCCGTTGCACGTGATCACCTGTCAGCTAATTGGTCGGAAATCTCATGTCAGTGCAACAAATAAGTCTCATAAGCTGCTCATTTATCGTAGTTCACCAACCCGAGCTCAACTGACGTGCAATGGATGCCAAGCTAAGGCAAGCTGATGAATGTTTCTGGGGGAAAAGGTACAGAGATTGCGACGCAATTTTGGACAGTCTGAGGAGTGACCCCGAGGTTCATTGGAGGAAGGCCCGTTCGATATTCGCACAAAGTACATTCCCATTTTATCTCACAATTTTACCTTGACAGTCACTTCGTCACCGAAAGAACCATCCAAAGATACGTTACGGAGTACATTCACAAAAGGTCTTGAGGAAGCTGATAAAGGATTAGCCGCCAATCCAAAACACGCCAATTGTCTGACGGTGAGCCTTTAGAATTTTCGACGTCATTTGCATTGAAAGTGGAAGGGCATTTGTATTAATCAAATCGCCAAAGTAGATGGAATTAACGAGCGCATCAAAAAAGCCTACGAGATTCAGGAACTGTGGGAGGTAATCTGGTTATGGCAAGTAGAATTTTTCCAAGGCAGCACTCGAAGTAGACCCTACAAATGATTTGACTCTGGGCTGCATGGGAATATGGTAAGTTCGTCTGTCCTCATGCATTCCCTAACTCCAAGGTGCTTCACGGTTACCGATCTACCCGAAGTTAAGCGCCTGTTTGCAAAGGCGTTTTTCAAAACGCCTCCCAATTCCACCTATCAGGAAGTACAGATTGAGCATGGTTTTCTTCATTATTTGAACGTTTTTAGGCCTTAGATTTTTTGAAAAAATCCGAAAAATGTAAGACTGGTGGCTGTGGATGCACCTTAATGCTTGTTTGGCAGATGCCCAAAGAGCTAATATAAGAGTTCAAGCGGCAATGGCCAAAACTTATTATCGGCTTAAGGATACAGCGAATGCAAGAGTGTATTGCGAAAAGGTACTCGCTTCAAGTGATACTGGATATGAGGCTGATGAGGTATGATTCAATTTGTACGCAGTTGTTTGGTTAACTATGCCTTTGTTCACAGGAAAAAGAGGAAGTGCAGAGGATTTTGAAGAAAATCTAACACACGGACATATTTATACATGTGCTTAAATATGGGGGTATAATTATAGTTCACAATGTAAAATGACGTAGAGAATGCATTGTTAACCAAACATAAAATTATATTCAAGTCTATGTAAATTTTGATGTACAAACGGATTGGTCATTCTCGGAAAGGTTCAAATGTTGGAAAGCTCACAATGAAGAAGCATATCTCGGTGGTTGAGTATTTTTCAAAAATCCCGTTTTGTACAAAATATAATTCGCTTCTTTTCATAAGGGCAACTATTCACAAGGTTGCTGAAAGCTCTCTGACAGCCCAAGACCGGTTTCGCCCTTCTTGGAGCTCATCAGGTAGGCGTACTCCCCGTGCAGAAAACAACCTTTCAAAGCAGCTCGTAAAATACCCCCCTAGTTGCCAAAACATTCAGTTCACTATTAAAGAGCTGTCCAATGGAGCAGGACAACAAATAGCTAATAAACAAAAAGAGGTGAATATCCTCATAGTTACGGAGAAGTTTGTCCAGAGTAAGGCACGTGTGGTGTTTACAGCAAGCATAACTGCGAATCACGTCGAAGCAAGATGTGTTCAGCGGAATTAACCCACCATTTTGAGTGAAACCCAGCGCAGGTAAAAGTCAGGCAACCCTGCCAATAACTTGCAGCATTCTGGCTACCGAGGCTACTGTGTATTCTGCACGGTTCAAACCCCATTGCAGGAAGTATCACGTGGAATGATCGCACAGTATTCACTATACTTTTGACTGCCTTCAATCTGCCCATCAACACTGGTGGTGTGGAGAAGTAATTCATTCGTAAACGGTGGTAGCGCTTGCGTGCACGTGTCCGGCTAACCTCAGTCTGGTAGGTCGTATGTGCTTCTCTAATATTGGGCTACCCACCACTCCTTCAAGACACTATATGTGGCTAGGATCTCTTCTCAAGACGTTCAAGTCAATTTTCGTGACTATAATGTAACGTAGTTCGTAGTATTACTTTGCCTCGTAGACCTCTTGCAATTAGTTTAGGGAGGTATAATTAAAGTAATTTCACGAATATAATTCGTCACTGTATGCATCTCCTTCGTTTGTGGCAATAGGGATGGATACACTGATCAGCGGAGTCAGGCTCCGCATTCTGTACTATCAAAGATGTACATAAGTGCTGACAACCAATACCACCGATGACTTCCCGGTACACCAGGGAGCGCTGTCGAAAAAAGAACTATAACCAGTTTAATCTGAACATACAAGATTGGGCTTAAAACTAGTGCATTTAGAAAGAGACTCACCTCGCAATGAACGACAGGAAGAAAAAAATCGTGATGTAGGGTGTTCCGAGTTTCGCTACTCGGGAAAGTTAAGTCAGTTTTAGGGGGTAGTCGGAAACTCTGTAAAATAATATAAAACTATTACACAATTCTGCTGCAAAGACAACAGAAAGAAAGGAATTAGCTCATTGAGGAATGCAATACATCTGCGATGGAGCCAGTTGGACAGCCCAAAACAAGTGATTCGAAGGGACTTCATCGCGAGATAGTTAATTCTAAGAAAGATCAATTCCAGCCGAGTCAAAATAAAACACACGATGTTTATCCATTTCTGCACTGAGGAATGCCTTTATCCGCAAATCAATGAGGGCCGTAATAGGTTAGCGGGAAATCTATCGGTTTAAGCAATGATCCATAACTATGGTGATTTCGATGAGGGAGAAAATGATACGGATAAGTTCGCGTACTTTAATCGTAGGAGAATTGATCATGAATTTCGGTCGTTGTGAACGAGGGCAAGCACTTGGGTCACTGCAAGCAGTACCGGTTATATCCCCAACAACCCAACCACAAATTTTTGGACAATGCAGACATCCCCATCAGGTCAATGATGAATAACCTAGGTTAATCACAAATTAACTTGCGAGATTTCGGACACAGTTCTTTGGTAAACCACCTACTCGAAACTCGTATGGTGAGACAGAAATATGTTCCTAAGTTTCCCCTGGAGCTAGATGAAGTCCTTGATAGATTTGATGCCAGCTAGACGGATGATCTGGAGGATGCGAGGCGATTGCTGCTGGCCTTGTTTTTGACTCACTTGTTTGCTCTAAAGTACAAGCTCGAACGATTTAACCTCTGACGTTTCAAACCTTAATTAATATACATAAAGATGACTATAAACAGAAGATCCTAACTGGATTCCAGTAACCATCGAAGGTTTTTGGGTTTGCACAGACCACATGTTCGCTGCGATTAAGCTTGATAAATTTAGTTATCGAATTCTAACAATACTCTAACGCTTTGAATCCTCAACATCGAACTAAACTCCGTTCGGGACACGGTACTTTTCCTTGAATGAGCAACATCGAAGAGTGGTGAGAAATGGGGAACCTGGAGTCGATCGACAGGGATTCAGACTTGAACTACTCATCAGCCGTTCCGAGGGTGGTATGTGCTAGTATGGTTTCAGAAGTGTTTATTTGATTGGAGACAGTGTGCAGAGAAGAGTGTGACCGAACAGCATCAGCACTAGCACAAATTGTGGGAAACAAGATAAGTACAGTAAACGGATTTGATTTGTGTTTGATTGGGCGGTAACTGAAGTGAGTAGTGGTGCAAAAATGAAGACCCAGAAAGACGGGGGTCGGAATGGCAGACAGGTAATTCTGAAGTCATTGGAAGTGTGTTGAATGCAGCTAACATTAGAGTAGCATCCAAGCTGGGAAAAATTCACTCAGCGTGTCGGTGTAATTGAAGAACCGCTTTCCAGTTGTTAATACTATAGGCTGTGTATACAGATTAAGCTTGAGCTATCACCTGAAGGTTTACATCGGTATGGGAATAGAAAGGTGCATTCCTTGTTTCTGATCGTCGGTTGCGTTTGAAATTACTGGGCCATTCTTCTCCGATGGTAACTTCCTGTAAACCGTGTTAATGAGGTTTTTACTTTCGTGCCCGGTTGGTTTAAGCGCTTTATTCATGGCATGCACTGGCAATTTACATTCAGCCAGTAGCCATCTCTGTTTAAAAACAGCAGTGGGAAGAAACAGTGGGAAGAAGAGCCCTTACGTGTAGCCAATCGTTGAAAATAATACAGTGTAAGATGGCTACTTTGTTGTGACAAAAAACTTGTGCAAGCCTTTATGCGTAATGAGTACCTTGCATTCTTAAAACTGCATTCCACGCTTCGACAGTTCTAACAGCACCCTACACCACGTGATCAGATCAGAGTGCGTATTTTAACTCTTCATTGTGTCTTGGCTAATAACGCTTAAACCAAACTGTACCGCTTGACGCTCCCACTTGCATGCAAATGTTCCTAATCATAAAAACTGTAATCTGTGTTATTTATATCGATAAATATGAGAACCGCGTATGACCCTGATAATCAAGTACCGATCTTCTGCTTCAGAACACCCAAATGTGGTTTTACAAGGCTTGGATAAGGTTGTACACATAGCATAGTGAAATCCCTCAAAGGCACTTGCTGAGACAATAGTAAAGCAGTTACTTTCTATACATAGTGTGCGAAACTTTAAACGAGTAGCACAAAAAGAGAGATTTCAGTATCATGATTTTTGCGACAGGATAATTACTGAGGAGCTGTTTAGAGCGCCGAAGTTTTTTCAGTAATCTGCTACAACAGGATGGAGTGCAGAGCTGTGCCGTCAGAATGTTTGAAGAGATATATTGTGCAACAATTCAGGTCGGTTTTGTTCTTTTCAAGTTTCCCAAGGACTAGTCTTGTTTCAGAAATGATCCCAACAAATTACTTTGACGTTGTAATTGGTTTTGTAGGCGGACACTTTATTTACATTACACTGGGTTTGTAGGATGATCTCTAGAATAGTCTCACGAAACGCAGAGTTTAGAACCCACTAGCTTCCGGCCTGCGGTCACGATGTGCACTGCTGATGATTCCCAACAAGCACGAAACAGCTTTTCGGCTTTTCAGCGTGGATTTTGTTCACTAACAGGAACAAGTCTTTATTAAATACATATATATCATCTAGCATGACCAACGGTTTTTCCCCATCACTCATTTCATATTGACGCATCGTGTCTGAATACTGCAATAAAGAGAGATACATAAACCTATCAGCTGGAGCTATCCATGAACGAAACAAAACAATAGGAAAAAACATTTGCTTATCAACCCATAAGATAAACACCATGTGGTATACGAATCACACAGAAAATAAACCTTCCGTTACTTGCATTCAGTATCCCCACAATCAGCAAGTGAAGTGAGCAAGCACAACGCACCTCGAGGAATGTGCGGTTTCGCATTGTGCCGAGTATTTCTCTCGTTATCCATGCCCTGTAGGATTGTTTAATCTAATAATAGGCGGTCACTTGTTCTGTGTACTAAATTGCAAATTGCAAATCGAGCTGTCCACGATCGGGAAAATTTCTCGGATTCCCGAGCTTTTGTACCAAGCTGAGGCAAATAACTGAAAAACGTACGCAGTAGTTTCAAGACTATTTCGTGCGCTGATAAGAGCAAATTCATGGCTCAGTTTTGATGGATTTATGGAGGAGATGACTGATGCCAAACGGACGCAGTAACAAAGTTATATCTACCTCCATAAGTTATTAAACTCTACTGTGAGCTCAGTGTACTTTGAGTGTGGCGTAAAAACCTGTGATAACACGCAGCACAGTGTGTTTGATTGAGGTACGAAACCTCTGATCGGTTAAGACAGTTCCCTAATATTATACCAATGTTCGTTCTAATGCAGCAGATCTAATTTTGCTGGCATGCAGACAAACACAGGGGTCTGGTGTTCGACAACTTAAACAATTTCTATGCTGACGGTTTCCAAGCCACTAATACATGTGTGAACAGTTGCAGAGGGCCGGTTGAAACGCGAGCATCGTCCATGTAAATGCATGCACAGAAATTCGACTCGTTTGTTTGTTCGTTCAACCCCCACTGTTTCTGAAAATCTATGCAGTGATCAGTATTTCTTTTGGAACAGCGGGACAGTTCCGGCCATATATCCAAAATATTCTCTTTCAATTAACCATAGATTAACCATTTACGACCTACAGCAGTCAGGTTTTGACTTGAAAGAGCCTGTCACTTAACCGAAAACCGAGACAACCTGTGACAATAGATGACTTAAAACATTTGTAAGTCTAATGTGAATATTATGGAAGCTTTTTCTTTTAATATGAGTT